GGGCTGGGAGAGAAGGCCACAAGAGCCAAGGTGGCTTTTCTAACACAATGCCTGATGTGAGCCTAGAAGGGAACAACCCAGAGAAAAGGAACTGGGGGGTAAGGAAGGTCGTGTGTGGTGTTAAGGAACTTTGCATTCCCCAAGGGAAATGCAGACAGGCTACTTATAAAAGGAAGAGGTTCCTTAAGCTCACAGTTTTGGAGGTTCAAGGGCATGACACCTGTGTCGGCTGAGTTCTGTGAAGGCCCAAGGCAGGCAATGGGTAGGGGATGGTGGGGCACTTGTGGAGGAACTAGTCACTTCTCAAACAAGAGCAGGGGACAAAGAGACTAGCGTCACACATCCTTTTGGGGACACATCCCTAGTGACTTAAGGACCTACCAGTAGCCCCCACCTCCACCTCCCCAAAGTTTCACCTCCTTTTTAAAGGACCACCTGGGGACCAAGCCTTCAGTCTCAGGGACTCTTGGTGGGCAAAAGCCATATTAAAACCATAGCGCGTGTAGAGGGCCAAGGTGGGGAACCCTGGAGTCCCCCTACGTCAAGGGCTGCACCTTCTGCCAGGAGCATTGTCCTTGCCTTCCTGTCCTTGTTCTTCCCTGAGGGCCACCCAGTGCCCCAGCAGGAGCCATCAGCCACGTCTGTGCTACACGTTTCTGCACCATTGGCTTCATCCAGGGTCTCCCCAGTTACACACTCTCAGAGAACTTAGAACTGGGGATTCTGAGGTGCTCACCCCCTTGAGCCTTCTTCATAGGGGCTGGAGACAGGAAGTAGGAACCTCTATGTGGGTGCCCATCGTCAGCTCTTCGACAGAGGCAAGGACAGCCAGGCTACAGAGAAAGAGGAAAATGCCACATGCCGAGAGAATGTGTGACAAGAGGCCAGCAGCTGCCTGGGCTGCGGGGCTTATCAGCATCCCACCCAGTGCTGGCCAGGCCTGCCGTGCTTCCGGCCCTCGGATACTATTTATCTGAAGAATAAACTCCCCTTTGTCTTTTGTTGACACTCACATGGATCATGATAATTGTAACAAAAACAAGCTTTGAATAGCCATAATGACCAACAAGAGCCAGGGACATCTTGGGCGAGTCCAACATATTGGAGAAAGCAGGGAGCCAGAGAGGGATTAAGTCCATCACAGAAGATGCTCCAGAGGAGGACTGCTCCTCTTAGAAGCTGTGAGGAAGGCAGGGGACAGTATGTCCCTGTGCCAGGTGATCGGTCCCTGAGCTGTTCAACAGTGGGGTCCCCAGGCTATCCATCTGAGATGGTGCATTTGCTTCCTTGGGCTGCTGTGATAAATGACAAACTTGGTGGTTGACAATAGAAACTGAGTGTCTCACAGTTCTGGAGGGCAGAGCACCCACAGGGCTCTCCACTCCTGCCTCATCCAGCCTCTGCTGGCTGCAGCACCCCTTGACCTGTGGCCACAACATTCTCTGCCTCTGTTGCTGTATGCCTTCTCTTTTTACCATCTCTCCTCTGAGTGTCTCTTACAAGGACCCTGGACATTGGATTTGAGGCCCACCTGGGTAATCCAGGATGATCTGATCTAAGGGGCATCTATGAACCTGCTTTCCCCCGGGGGTCCTGGGTTGGTGGCGTCTTGTTGGGAGCACCTATCCAGTGCAGCTCCAACGACAAATGGCAGGGAGGGAAGACTTGGGATGTAACACGGGACTCCTGCATCTTTCCTGTTGCATCAGCCTTAATGTTTATTAATTCTCTCTTATTTAAATTTTCTCTTGAAACATAATGGACAGTTTATTTCTAGGGGAGTTTTTTGTACCAGTCAGTTATGCTGCTCAGTGAAACAGGTAGTCAGGTTTCTCAGTGGGAGTTTGAGCCAAAGAATAAAGAATATGCTGAAGAATGCTTACAGCTGTTAGACCATGGGCAGCATGGACACCATCTGAGCTCCTGAGCAAGAGGGTTCGTTTCCTTCCAGGACATGGTGGTAGGTGAGGAAGAGGAGAAGGCAGGTCAGATGTAGCTGCTGAAGTAGGTTCAGGACTTGTAGGTTGGTGAGAAAACTCAGAAGACTCAGGGAAGATCAGGCAGAAACAGGTGATGTTCCAGTTGACAGGACCCGGTGGAAAATTAGGAGATTATTGTAAGCAGACGGAGTGGTGAATCAAGGGAAGGTGCATTAATTTTTTCCTATTGATCTTCTGCTTTTGCCAAGCTGCCTGAAGCCATAAAGATGTACAACAGCTACTGGAGTAGCTCAGAGAACTACGGAGAAGCTGAACAGTCCAGCTTGGAAACCCACAGAATCCCGAGTAGAGCCGGCCACTGAACTCTGCCACGTTCTGCAGCTCTGCCATCCCACACCCTGCCCCAGTCACGTCAACGTGTCTTCCCAGGCAAGTTTCAGATTTCCCAGGGAGAACCTGACCCACCCAGACCTCGCACACAAGCTGACCCGCGGGGCTGGGTGGAGACATGGCTTCTGTGAATGTATTGGGGGCTAGAAAGTCATGCCAACTGCAATCAAGGACAGTGACACTCAAGAGCTAGGTGGGCAGGAGGGGACCAAAAGTGCAGGGCTTAAGCGACTGTACTGGGATTGGGAATGGGGCTTCAGACTGCAGGGACTAGAAACAGAAAAGGCTGGGGGAGCTGAGGAGCCATCTGGAGGTGGTATAGTGCAGGGTGGTGGCTCTCAAACTTTTTCATCTAAGGACCTCTCCGCACTCTTAAAAATTATTAAGGCCCCACAGAGGGAACTTTATCTATCAATGTTGACCTTATTAGAAATTAAGCCGGAGACGTTTTTAAGACACAGAACATATGTACACTCATTCCGTAGTTGTCGGAGTGATGGTGTCGCCTCTCTTCTGACAGCCTTGGACCACTCCCCTGCGTACTCCTGAGAGGGAGTGAAAAAGGCAAACGACATCTTAGTGTGATCAGGAATGAGCTGTGACCCTGGAGGACCTCAGGAAGGATTTTTCCCAGGGTTCCCGGATACACTTGGGAAATGCTGGCATAGTTGTTCAGAACCTGGCCTCCAGGGCCAGACTGCAGCAGGGAGACAGCAGGTTTCTCAGGCAATGCCTCCATTTCTTCATAAAATGAGGCAGTAGTGGTGCCTTCCTGACAGGGCAGCTGAGAGGATAAGAGACAATTCACAGGAGGGTCTCTGAGCGAGCCCGGCACATTGTGTGTCATCAGAACATACAATGCGGTTCTGATGTGTGTGGTTCTGCTCAGTCCTTGCATGACTGCCCCAAGGGCAGAGCCCAGACCGTCCGGGCCTTCAGATCCCAGGGCTGCTGAGTGAACAGCCTCAGCTCCAAAGGTCAACGCAGGGGCTCCTGGCTCCATGAGGGGTCCTCCTGCTGAGTCCACCTCTATGAGAAGGCTCAGCCCCACCCAGGAGCCTGAGGGATCTCACGACCCTGGTGGATCTCCAAGGCTTTGATCTCAGGAGATACTGAAGTAACAGTCCTTGGAAATGAGATGCAGTCTGATATCTCAGCCAAGATGATTGTTAAAAAAAAAAAAATGTTTTTATGATATACATGACCTGAATTGCTGAGGTACCTCTTTCTTTGCCTTAATCAATAAAAAATGTGAAATTGGGCCGATTTATGAATATTTCATATATGTAACAAATCTAACTTTCTAATGATCAGAAGTAATCAGTTCAGTGGAGTCTCCAGAACCCAGGAGGCAGGCCGGGAGGCGGGCACAAGCACACCACCCTAAGTGCTCAGTTCTGCTCCAACTGGCCCAAGGATGTCGGACCCAGCTCCCTCCAAGGAGAGCCAGTGCTCCTCGGAGGCTGGGATACACTGGACAGTCCCACCAGCCGGGCCTAGGAGCACATGGTGCTGGCCAAACTCGCACACATGCAAATGATACCAGAGCCGTGCGCTCAGGCCAGGCAGACCCTCCATCAATACTGCCCTGATAGGACGTGTTCCTTACTTGAAGAGACCACAGTAGGCTGAGAAGGTCATGTCCAGAGCATTACCTACATAAATAGGTAAACAAAGACATTCAGACAACAGGGTGGTATGAGCAAGGGGCACTTCCCTGTGTAACAGGGCAGGGTGGGGTTTGGCTGCCCGAGGTCCAGGAAGCGCCAACAGGCTTGCCTCCCTCCTGGTTTAGGTTTCTCCTCTTTTCTCCTGGGGACCCCACCCACCCACTCCCACGCAGGGCTCTCAGGACGTCTTACACTTTGGGGCTGTTCTTTGTCTCTGTGCCCATTGCCGTGGGCCGGTCCTCACAGAGCATTGGCAGTGTTTCCAGCACAGAGGCCCACAGAGTGGCCCCTGCTCATTCCCTGCTTTTTGAGCGCTATCTGCTGGCATGAGTCACCTTGAGGCCCATCCCTGCACAGCCGGAGAACCTAGAGCTGGAGGGCTGCAGAGGCCACCTCCTTCAGCTTCTTGGCAGACTGCAGAAAACAGATGTGGAGGAGGAAAGGACTTTCTCCATGGGCTAGGGAGTGAAGAACAAAGCACTTGCCCCCCCCCCCCCCGTGTGTGTGTGTGTGTGTGTGTATGTGTGTGTGTATGTATGTGTGTATGTGTGTGTCTGTGTGTGTGTGTATGTGTGTGTTTGTGTGTGTGTGTGTGTGTCTGTGTGTTTCTTCCTCTCATCTGCCTTTTGCTCAACTATGGAAGTCTTGGGGCAGGTAGGGAAGATCCATGTCCAGAGCATTACCTACATAAATAGAAAAACAAATACATTTGGGAAGATAGGGACAGTCTTTCTACTCTTGTAAGGCAAGCTGGTTTCTCTGCAGTTCTCTAGGTCTTGTGCCTGCTAATCCATAAGAAAGGGTTCTCTGAAGCCCAAGATGTTAGCTGATAAGGGATTCAGGAGATTTGTATAATAAGGGACTCTTAAAGGCCAAAATGGCTCTCAAGACTCAAAGGACTGAAGTTATGAAAGTGGAAAATTAAACTGTGCTGCTGAGTTCCCCTGGGCCTCCCTGAAGCCCAACACTGTGTTCTTTCTGTTTGGAGTGCAGGAGCCGGCCAGGACTCTGTTGATGACCTGGATCACACCTCTGTGTTACCAGTTCCCAGGAAGGCTCGCCCTGCTGTTAGGAGGCACAGGGTGTGAGAGCTCAGAGTCCAGAGCTTCTCGCTCAGGTTACTCTTGGGTTGAAGAGGCGAAGTGATTTTCTCCAGTCACACACCACTTAGGGTTGGAAGCAGAGCCTTTGGAAGCTCTGGTGTCTCAGACCAGAGCCCTCTATACCAGTGGACCCCATGCCTCTGACTATGTGGAGCACTTCAAAGTCAAAGCTGTCACCTTGGACCTCAAGGGCACCTGATCTTAACCAGGTATGATGGCATGACCTTAGCCAGGTATGATGGCATGCACCTGTGGTCCCAGCTACAGGGTAGGTTGAGGTGCGGGGAGGGGGTTGCCTGAGCTCAGAGTTTGGACGCCAGCCTGGGCAGATTCTAGACCCTGTAGCTAGGATAAGATAAGTACATAAAAAGATCAAAGGCACCCAACCATGAATCAGTATTTGGCGATTCACTGCTGAATCAACCACTCTGATTTAGCCCTCAGTGTCAGTGGACACAAACACCCTCCTGCCCAAGCCATCCTCTGCCCAAAATTCTACAGGGTTTCTCTTGCCTATTCACCTGTCTCGTCCTGTATTACACATGAGGGTCTGTCTCCCTGGAGTAATGATCTTGTTTAAACTTTTAGGGGAAAAAGACCACACCATTATGATAGTGCCCCCCTTATCTGCAGAGGTATATTTCAAATTACTCCATGAGAGCCTAAAACTGAGGACGGTACCAACATCTATATATACTATGTTTTTTCAAATACATGCCTACCTATGGTAAAGTTGGACTTACAAATTAGGCACAGTAAGAGATTAACAACAGCAACTAAAACTAAACAGAACAACATACCGTAATCAAAGCTTGCGCTTCAGGTCATTCTTAGGTAAAATAAGTTCCTTGAACTCAAGCATTTCAATACCAGGACTGATGGTCTGATAAGAAGTGACTACTAAGTGGATGGGCAGTGCTTCCATAGGGGTGTGCTAGACAACGGGGGACTCACGTTCGGGGCAGGATGGAGAGCTGCAGGGTCACGTTTCTTCAGACCACTCAGAACAACAGCAATAAACAACACAAACTTGTGAAACATTATTTCTTGAAACTTCCATTTAATATTTTCAGACTGCAGTTGACTGTAGGTAACCAAAACCATGGAAAATGAAACTCTGGTGAGGAGGGACTACTGTATTTTTATTTTAATTATGAAAAGAAGTAAAGCTTGATTGATCCTCTGAGATAACACAGGCACATGGCTCTTTCAGGCTACTGCCACCCAAAAGTTCAAGTTCCTCTAACATGGGCTATTTTAGGAAAGCTTAAGGAGCACAAGAAAAGGGCAAAACTTGGCTGGTGATGGTCAGCAAAGCCCTTCATGATTTGACCCTCACCTTCATCACCTCCCTGCGCTCAGGGGCTCAAGGCCCTGCTAGATGACCAGCGATGTCCCACGCAGCCTGTGTGTTTCTGTGCCCACTGCTCGTGGGCACATGGTTCCTGCTAACTTGGGGGTCTCCACTTGGGCATGATTGACATTAGGGGCTGGGTGAGTCTCTATTGGGGGCTTGTCCTGTCTATTGAAACCACATCCTTACTGGTCTCCACTCACTTGAGGCCCAAATTGACCTCAAGTCATGACAATCAAAAAATGTCTCCAGTCACCACCACATGTCCCCTGGGGGAGGGGGAGCTGCAAATCGCCTAGTCAATACCCACTGTTTTAATGGAATGAACTTCTGGAGCCCCTCCATCTAGTGATCCTACTCCTTTCCTGGCTCAATCCAAACATCACCCCTCTGGGAAGCCTTCTGGAAGTGCCCAGGCAGAACTAGATGTCCTTGTTTCCACAGGACTTTGTAGATGTGCCCCAGTTCTGTGCTTATTCGTGGTGGTGCAATTGTTTGCTCTGCCCCATTAGACTATGAACTCCAGGAGGTCAAGGATTATGACTCTGAATCCACATTCTTAACTTCCCAGCACTCAGCCAACATCTGACATAGAAGGAACTGAGTAAATGTTGAATGAATGGGCCGTGTGCAACGTCAGGCTGACCCTCCCTGAGGAGTGACTCCTCCAAGACATGTCATGATTATTCTCAGTCACTGCCAGAAATGGTCTCAGCCTCGTGATCTCACTCAATCCTTGTTTGAATCATTTCTTTGCCAAAGGAATAACTCAGATTTTCATTTCTAGTCGCAGTGGTATTAGACTCCTGATAGAAACTGGGGAAACTGAGGCTCTGAGAGTTTCATTTGCAAACGTAGCCTACTGGTGGCCTTGGGAGTAGACACCAAGGCAGGTCAACTGAAAACCCCAGTTCCTGCCCTACCTTTAGATTCCAGATTTTTATTTTCAAGAGTGACTGTGAAAAAAGCAGCCATTTAAAGTCCGAACAGCTTCCATGTACATCAGCAAGGGCTGCTGATGCCCGGCTGCAATTTGTGACACTTCTTATCATTGCACCCAACATCAAATTCTACCAAAATATGGGAAAAATCATTTTGATGTTTCATTTGCATATCCAAGGATTGGAGGATGGTTTGTATAATCAAATTATGTCGAGTTGTAAAAGGGAGCATGGTTTAAATAGCTTACAAAATTACTTTGAAGATGCACATTAAAATCTAAAGAACCCATCGCCTTCAAGATCTTTACAAAAAGCTAAATGCTAATTGATTATGACAGCTTTGTCTTTACCACTGGCTGCAGTCAGTGTCACAGCCCGCATATCACTCTCTGCTCCCCTCCTCTTCGAGCCACATTCATCCCAAGCTCAAGTAACAGATGGAATTTTATGCATGACTGGCTTTCCCCCCTCTCCCCATAGTTGATCAAAAGGAGCAGCCTAGAAAAAAAAAAAACTAGAATTTGCTGAAATTCTGATTTCTTTCAGCAGTTTTATAGATTTTATAACTTATCTTTTATTGACTATGCAAGGTCTCTGGTCCCCAGCATCTGTTTGTTGCATCTGGGGAAAAAGATAAATTCCCCCTTTTTGATACCACCAAGCCAAAATTAACAGACAAACAGGAGTTAATAGAAAAGGAGAGAAATGTATCCCTGTCCATCCAGTGTCCTCTTTCCCAGTCTCTCTGTGGACAGGACAAAAGGAGGGAAAATACGGGGCTCTTCCTACTTGTCGGGTTTACTAGCTTAGGGGTAAACATCCTGAAGACGGGCGGAACCACCTAGAACAGGTCCTCTCCCAAGAGAAGACCTGGGAACTGTGGGGGACTTGGCCATGAGCATGGGTAAGGAGGCTACTTTGTATACATGGAAAAGAAAAGAAAAGAAACACTAATCTACACATCGTTTATAATTTCTTAGACTTAAAGAATTGTGCCTGGTCACCCAGAGACATGATTCCACATCATGGAGCTTCATTATAATAATGGCCCAGTCCTCCGACTTGTTTAAAACCTCAGCTGTTCGATCCAGCCTCTGCAGCTCCATAACTGTTTATAAGATTAATAGACTCTGATGCACAATTGACTCTCCCACCGGGAGGGGAAAAAAAGAGAATAATCAGAGGCCGCACAGAAGTAGCATCCCCATAAGGAGGTGGTGTCTGTCCCATTGAAGGGGTCAAGGGCAGGGGAGGATCGCTAGCACAGCAGAGGAAGAGTCCTGGGGAGCGGATGGGACACACCCCTGCCATTTAGTCTTTAGTGGGCAACTAAAAAACAGCCTGAGTGTCTTGGCAGGGTCATGCTCTGCAGCAGGGAGCAAGGTCAGAGCTGGAAGAGGCGGGACAGAGGATTGGGCGCCTACCACACGAGCGTGGAAGGCCAGGGAAGGGGAATCCTCAGAGGAACCGGAAGTGGTGGAGGCTCTGATGGGTGGTGTCAGTGGAACTCAGAAGGACAGTGTGTGTCCCTGGCTGCTCCTTCCCATTCTGGGGTTATGGGTCACAGAGTGTCATGCCAGGTCCCCCGGGTCTTTCAAAGAGAACATGAGCTGGTAAGGGTGGCAGGGCAGGCCTCAGAGTGTCACCTTGAAGGTTAAAGGAAATGAAGGACCTGGGTGAGTGGGGGGCAGAGCTGAGGCTCAGAGGCAGGCCCTGCTGACCACACAGAGCTGCAGAAGGGGTGTGCCTGGACCAGCAGAGCAGGGTGGGCGCCCTCACGCTGCAGACTTCCATTGGGCACGGTCCCTGCATGCTTAGAGGGTCATTTTATAGAGCAGTCACTCGGGGGCCTGGCGACTTGAACACAGGACCAGGCCTGACCAAAAGGTGGGGTCAGCAGCAGACTGTCACGGCTAGCTGGCGGCACGCCCGCTCTGCTTTCACCCACGGCACCTCTCCTCTCGGCTTGTTCTAATGTTCCAGAAAAAGACCGGTCTTATGGGGGCGGGGGTTGGAGGAGCAAAATTAGAAGAAGAGATCGAAGCACAGAGGGCCTTCTTTTCTACCCCAAATAGTGAGAGACCCACACCCCACACATAAGGAAGAGAGATGGGAGCCGATCTTCCATGGTCATCAGATTTGGGCTCCTTCCTCTTTGCTGTAAATAACCGCTCTTAGCTGACATCTGCTGCTGCTTCCCCACTGCCTGGAAAGCGCAGAGTGATCGCAGAGATCAGGCTCTATCTCTGCTTCTGTTTTCCTTTGAACTGACCACCAAGTGACCCGGTGTGAAGGCAGGTCACGTCCTTGCTAATGTGGCCAGAGTCACATATCTGCCTGAGGAAAGCCTGCTGCACCAGAGTGAAGGCATGTCACAGGCTCCTGCGTGACATGGGGGTGCTCCACCATGAACCTTCTCCTGCAGATTCCTGTGAGACTTGGCACCTTTTTAGAAGTGCATTTTGCATCATGGATAGAGGAGGCCAGGGTCTCAGAGTTGGCTCTATCTGAAAGACCCCCTGGCCAGGTGAACTCCAGTTAGTCCTTTCTACCATTTCAGGGCCAGACAAGCAGAGAGTGCCCAACATCAGTTTATTGCCTTCTAAGAACCACTGGTCTTCTTCAGAGAAGGGAAGAGTCCTTGCTGCACCTGGGTCTGCCAAGCGCTAATCTGACATGGCAGCGAGGAGCAGTTCAGCCCAGGCTGTCTTCCACCTCACAGGTTCGGAATGCTGTCTGCTAGCGCAGGAGTCAAACAATTCCCTGGCAGTAGATTGCTTTGCACTTAGAGGTCTACTAAGTAAATAGAAATGTAATTAACAGTGTGCTATGGTGGATGTATCAGGTGGAATTTCATTAGAGCAGAAAGAACTGAGAGAATCAGGAAGTCATTTTTTGTCCACTGTCTGATGAATCTTTCATGCTGTCTTTCTCTAGGATGGGCACGTTATCTCTGCTTGTCTTCAAGAAGAGAAATTTCTGAACTTCCTATTATATCTTCCCTTTGATCAAGGGGAAAAGGAAAAAGAAAAGAAAAAATCTCGAGTGTCTAGAATCGGCCCCCAAATAAAGAATCCTTCTTACTTTTCCATCTAATGATTTTGGTCCTGAAACCTAACAGTGATTGTCCCTCTCTTTTGTGGTATTTGTGTTTTTATTTTTTTTCCAACTTTTAAATATCTGATTTTGAAACATGAACCAAACGTCTCATCATTTCCCCCTCCCTCCGGAAAATAAATGGCATCATGTCACTGAAACAGCAGGAAGAAACAGAATTGCATAGGAAGGAAATTTATGCTCAGTTGGAAAGATAAAAGGAGATTAAGGCATTTATTTTTAGCTGCCTTTTAAAAAATATATTTGAAAATACTAAATTCAATTTCACATGTCCAGAATGGTATAACCTAATTTTGGCATATTAATTAACAATAAAAGTAGTGTTTTGCCTCATACAAAGGAATAAAATAATTAACTTACTGAGGAAATGGGGTCATATGATTTTACTTTGAGAGGGTAATGAATGATATGGAGTAACTGTGACAAAAAGGTTTTGCAAAGCGACTCTGGCTGAGGCCTTCTTCGGAATTCTCTGTTAAGTACCTGAGGGAGAACCGGTTTCTCCCTCTCAGAACGTTCCTGTCTCCACTGGGGACGCGGCACACACTTTGGCCAGGTAGGGGTTTTCCTCAGAAGGAATGCTGGGAGGGGCAGGCGTGGCCTGCTTTTAAGGGTCCTCTGAGGCCCACCTACTCCTTGAATCAATAACCAGGTGGGCTTGTCAAGCACCAAGGTGCCTTCTATCCTGGAAGGAATTCCAACTTTGCGTATTTTACATATTTGGACCTTTGAACTTAGAATATTTTGTTACACTTCACATAGTATTTTACATATTTGGACCTTTGAACTTAGAATATTTTGTTGCACTTCACATAGCTTCGTTCCCTGGGGGGGAATCCCTAGCCTTTCAAGTAGTTATTATAAAGCTGAGTGCATAAATATGCATGAGAGGTCATTATCACCACAAGATGATACTTAAAAGGTTCAAGTGTCTCTTACTAAGATTTTTCAACTTGTTCAGTGACATTAAATCAAAGTCTCCAGTTTTGGGGAGACTTTGCAGAACTTTGCCTTTGGTTGCTCTTTCCAGCTTTTAAGGAAAGGTAGCGCTTTGGGGACCTTGATGGTATGCGTGCGTGCGTGTGTGCACTCTTCCATCCATTCATTCATGCATTCTGCCGAGTAATGAGATATTTAATTACCTGTGTCCATGTTTAATGCAAAATGTCATATGTTAGGGCATTGCAGTCAGAACTTGAAGACTTTCCAGATTTTAGGCCAGGAATTGAAGCACAGAGAGGGTAGGTGACTTTTCCCATATCTCATTGTGTCCTATAGTCAAGGCTGGACATCAGATCTTCCCCCTAGACTAGGCTTTGTCCAATGAGCCAGAGCTTCTGGAAGGTTTGAGATTCCAAAGTGTTGGGCCATCCTAGGACCATGCTATCAAAGAGTTGCCTTTGAACATAAGCCAGAATCGCTCCTTCAGTGTGGACATGCTACACAGTGTTGAGCGAATCTAGAAGGCTCTTGAACATGACATCACATTCAGAATCGGTTCAAGTCCAACCCTACGATTGCAACAAGTTTCCACTTGGAGAAGAGGAAATTTTTTGCCTCTGGAATTAGTTATCCAGGTGGCCCTGAAGGAAGCAAGGCAAAGAAAACATAGAGCAGAGCTGAAAAGAGGAGGCCAGGCCACCCGTGCCCCCTGTGGGTGGGACTGACATGCAGGTGGCCCTCGGGTCTGACCACATTCTTAGTCCCAGATTAACACGGAGTCAAGAAAGTCTTTTCAATGTTCTCTTCCCAGAACCCCTCCCTGAGTCCCAGAACCCCTCCCTGAGTCCCAGGAAAAATTTTGGAAAAGGGCGCAGGTGGAGCCAAGGGTGTCCACTCACCTGTCACACAGTGGGACAGACGTACCTGCAGTGTTTCATACACGGTGTTCCTGACCCGAAGGCTGGCCCTGCTGGGGGACATCGCAGTGGGAGGGAATGTGTGGAAGACGGAGTCAAGCTCTTCTTGAAGCCTGAGCTGGGGTGACAGTGCCCGCCCGCAGAGCCCTCAGGTGGGCGGTGTGTTGGGGTCCAAGCAGGGGTCCCTCGCCTTCTGGCTTGTTGTTACCCACAGCTGGCACATTCTGAGGTGGGTTTCTGTCCCATCCCATCCTTCAGGCATGAGCTGGGACCATGGAGATCAGTGGAAAGGGCTGCGCAGGAGCCCAGCTTGGCTTTGAACATGTAGTAAAGTTGCCAACTTTTAGAGTAACCTGTGCTTTTACCATGACCAGAGTTTCAAAAGTACGCACTTTGATCAACTTTCCCATCAGTTCACTATTTTGTCCACCCTAGAAGGTCAAGAAGCCGGCAGACAGACAACAGAATGAACAAACTTCCCTAACTCAAGACTCTTCTTCCACATGAAGTTCCTGTCTTCCTCAAACCCTGGAATTTCAGAGTAAGGAAGGAGCTCTGAGGTCACTGATGTGTCCTCCCTCACTCATGGCCTTGGGCTAGTGTATGGACAGTCAATGCTAGAGGCCAGTGCAGACCTTCTCAGATGCAGAGAGAACCCATGAAGTGCACTGGCAGCCTCTAGGAGTCGAGGAGGACCAACCCCCACCATCTGGAGGTGGAGGAGTCGAGGAGGACCGACCCCACCATGTGGAAGTGGAGGAGTCTCCTGATGGCTTTCATGGTGGCTCTGGCTTGCTCCTTCTCCTTTGAGGAAATGGCGTTCCCTGTGGCCAGTGTGTGCTTTCTGTTTGTGATTCTGCGTCCTTTATTCTTTATCTAAAATTTCTGCTCAGAAACGCGATCCAGGTATTGGCCTGACATTTCTTCACAAATGATGTATGTTTATTAAATTGGGTCGTCACTCCTTGGACATAGATTCATTCACATTCTACAAAGTACCCTTCCTCATCTGCCCACCTGCTCCAGTGTTGAGTTCTTCATTCGGGCACACAGGCCAAACTCCTGCTAGGTGCCAGGCCCAGGGCTAGACCCCCCAGGAACACTCTCTTGTGCTCCCTCTTGGCTTCCCGCCTTCCCTTCCCATCCCTCAGGAGCTCTTCTTATCTGTGCACCCCGAGGCACCCCCACAGAATATGATGTCCCATGACGGTGTCTTTCCTTGTGCAAACCAAATAGCGCTGGCCTCTGCTCTGAGCTCCTCCTGAACTCAGGCTGACATCACGTCTGCTCTCCCTCAGCCTTTTGGGCCTCTTTCTGGCACACGTTGAGAAGCACTGCTGTGCACCCAGGTTGGCCGTTCGGCCTCTTTCTCTGTGAGCTTTGAGTCCATTCATACTGTCCCCCTCACGGCTGCTGGAACTCCGTCCCCGGGGGGAGTCAGGTGTCGGCTGCTGTCTCCGTGGTTCAATCCGTTTTCCTTCTGCTAACAAAGATGTTAAAGAAACTGCACCCCAGCTTGGGAAAGGGGCTCAGTTACATTCTAGCAAAGCAGCCCTGGTGCTGTCTTGTCTTAAATGGCAGATTCTTTTCTTAAAAACGTTTAGAGCTGGATGAGACCTTAGAAATCTCCTGGTTCAGTCTTTTTGTTTTTAGTGGGTTCAGAAATTAGGCCCGGAGAGGTCGGTGACTTGCCTGCTGTCCGGTAGGTCAGGCTTGAAATCTTGAACCCCTGCCTCAGTCTAGTGTGCTGGTCTCTTTTCAAGAATTATCTTTTAAGTTGAAGACACGTGTGAAAGAACAAAAGCCACTCCACAGCCACGAGGAGCGGAACATGCGTCTGCATTGCCTGTCCTCGGAGCGAGCTTCATCCTGGGCATCTTGACATTTGGATTACTGTTCTTTTCTCCCCTGGGCCCTGACAGCTCACCCTGGCTTGCTGCACTCTGAACCAACAAGACCCCAGTGTCCCTTCCCAGGATTTCCTCGCCTCCTGAGATTGCGGCCTGTCTGCATCGCAGCACCGTTGGCTGCTGCCCACTAATGTTGCCTGACCAATTCTATGTGAGACCCTCTCTTGATAGGGATGAGGCTTTCTTTGTTTCTGGATGACTCTGATGGTTAGAAAGTGCTCTCTGAGCTCACAAGCTCGTCCATCTTCCTCTTATTGTCCTCACTGTGATGATTCTGCTCTGTGTGATGGACTTGGCCCGCAGGCCAGCAGTACACCAGCCTTGGGAGGAGGAGGGACTTACCCCTTAGGACTTTCCATGGCCCTTCTCCTCTTGGTCCCTTGATCCCCGCCCCCCGTTTTGGTTCCTCATCCCATTTTCCACAGAAGCTTTGTCACGAACAACCCATGGGGCTGTCTCTTCCAGCTTTTCCTTGCAGAGTTCTCTAGGATAGGACCCGCAGCATTGCCCTCCTGTCCCATGGGTCCTGATTGTGCTGAGAGTGTGCCATCCCCTAGACTGGGAGTATGTGGAGTAGACGATTTGTCCCTCCCTTGTCCAGCCTGTCCGTTTGGGAATGATCATCAGACTCCCTGGTCTTAGTTCTGTCCTCTGGAGTGGCACAGGGTACATCTAATCCCTGCTAGTATTTTAAGAGTCTGACCCTATCTCTCTTGCATGGCTCTTCTCCTTCTCCTTGTGCACTCTTTAAAGGGTAGATACAAATGTTTGCATCTGTGGTGATGTCACTTGACCTGTGCATAGACCAGTGTGGCATTTTCCTGCCTTTACTGGAATATTCTATTTTCATCCCTGGTTTTGTTTAGCAACACCCTCATGCCCTATGCTTGTGGTCAACCAAATGTTCCATCTCTTTCTCCTCTCATGAGTTGCTGGTGAGCCTGATCTCATTTATTCTTTATTACGTCATCTACTCCTATGTATTATGTCAATTCACATTTTTACTTGGTCTCATTTTTCTAGCCGACTGCTAGAATCTTTTTGAATTCCAATTCTTTAATGTTCCTTTATATTTCCTCCAAGCTTTTATTGTGCACAAATTTAACACGTGAATATTTTGTGTGTCAGAGGCATAAATAAAAGTATTCAGTAGGAGTACAGGCTAACACTCTGAATCAACTTACATATGCACTGGGG